GATCAAATAAGTTTGGCAAGCCGTTAGCTCCACACTATCCAGGGCACTAACTGGTCGCTTTATTTAATAATTGAGAAAATAAAATAATACAACCGCTAATCACTGCACAACCCAGGACGTTTATACGTCGCTTTGTTGATTATTAAAACAACACAATTGTAAATCATCATACACCCTGAGGGACTTACCAGATACTTTAGTCATTAATGTATTAACGACAGCACCGATCACCACACAACCCAGGAACCTTACTGGTCATTGTAATAATTACTGAATTTTATTAATTGATTATGCAATCGCCAATCACGTACCAACCCGGGATGCTTACTTGTCGCTATCTCAACTAATAAAATAACACAAGCGCCAATTACCACATAACCTGGAACGTTCACTCGTTGCTTTATTAAATAATAGAATAAATTACCCAACACAAGCGCCAATCACCGCACAACCCAGGTCGCTTACAGGTCGCTTTATAAATAATAAAAGAACATAAGCGCCAACTACAACACAACCTTTGTTGCTTACTAGTTGCTTTGTTGATCAATATAATAACACAACCGCCAATCACCACACAACCCGGGGCACTAACTGGTCGCTTTATTTAATACTAAAATTAAAAAAAATAACACGCGCTAATCACTGTACAACCTGGGCCGCTCACTGGTCGCTATGTCAATCTATAAAATAAGACAATCGCTTATCACCACACAACCTGGTTTGCTTACTGCTCAGATTGTTAATTGACAAAATAGCGCCAACAACAACTACTTCACAAGCCAAGATGCTCACTAGTTACTATCTTAATTAATGAAGTAACACAAGCGCCAATCACCACACAACTTTGACCTCGTACTGGTCACCATATTAAATAATAAAACAAATAAAATGTTGCAAGCGATAATCATTACAAAATCCGGGGCACTTACTAGTCGCTATGTTAATTTATAAAATAACAGAAGCCCCAATCATCACAAAATCCGGGGCGCTTAGTGGTCGCTTCGTAAATCAATGAAGTAACACAAGTGCCAATTACCAAACAACCCAGCGTACTTACTAGTAGCATTGCTAATTAATTTAATAACACAAGCGCCAAACATTGCACAACCTGCGGTGCTTACGGCCGCTTCATCAAATAATAAGAAAACAGAAGTGCCAACTACAACATAACCCGAAGCGCTTTCTAGTGGCTTTGTTGATTAATATCATAACGCAAGCGCCAACCGTTACATAACCCAGAGGGTCACTTGGTTACTTAATTAAGTAATACAAGCCTCAATGACAACACAACTTTGATCGCTCAGTAGTCGCCTTATTAAATAATAAAACAATTAAAATGTCGCAAGTGGTAATTACCGCACAACTCAGGGCGCTTATTGGTCGCTGCATTAATTTATAAAATAATACTATCGCCGATCACCAAATAACTCAGGGTGCTTTTCCGTTGCTTTGTTAATTATCGCAATAATTCAAGCGTCAATTACCGCCCAACCCAGGAGAATTACTAGACACTTTGTTAATTATCTAATCAAATAACACAAGTGCCAATCACCGCACAACCCAGAACGATTACAGGACGCTTTATTAAATAATGAAAGAACACAAGCACCAATTATCATACAACCTGGGGCGCGTACTGGTCACTTCGTTAATTGATAAAATAACACAAGCTCCAATCACTAAACTATCTGGAGCCCTTAGTGGTTGCTTTGTTAATCAATGAAGTTACGCAAGCGCCAATCTCTGAACAACTCGGGTCTTTTACTAGTTGCTTTGTTAGTTACTCTCATAACACAAACGCCAGTCACCGCACAACGCAGGGCGCTTACACGTTGCTGTATTAAATAATAAAAAAACACTAGCGCCAACCAATACACAACCTAGGGCGCTTACTAGTCTCTGATTATCTAATAAAATAATACAAGTGGCTATTGACACAACTCAGGGCGCTCACTGGTCACTTTGTTAATTAATAAAATGACCCAAGCGCCAATCATCACACAGCTCTAGGCACTTACCAGTTCTTTGTGATTAATGTAATAACACAATGCCAATCACCGCACAACTTGAGGTGCCTGCTGGTCGTTTTGTTTACTTATAAGATAATAGAAGCGCCAATCACCACTCAACTAGGGTTTTTTACTGGTCACTTTGTTAATTAATAAAATAACACAAAGGCCAATTGTTACATAACCTGGGGCGCTTGCTGGTTACTTTGTGATTTGAAATATTATTATAATCGCAAATCACCTCACAACTCCAAGCGCTTACTAGTCGCTTTATTAAATAAAAAAATAACACAAGCGCTAACCACCATACAACATAGGGTTATTTCTAGTGGCCTTGTTAATTAATAAAATAACACAAGCGCCAAACACTACCCATTCTGTGTGCTTACTGGTTATTGTAATCGTTGATAAAATTCAGTATTTAATTATGCAACTGCTAGTTACCACACAACTTAGAGCGCTTACTTTTAGTTATATTTGTTAATAAAATTTAATAATTAATTATGCATGCTTCAATTGTCACGTAACTCGGGGATATTACTGGTCAATTTTCTAAATAGTTTAATGACACAAGCGCCAGTCACCACATAATCTGGGGCTTTTACTGGTTGTTTTATTAAATAATGCAATAAGTAAAGTAACACAAGCGCTAGATACTGCTGACTAGCTAGTTGGATTTTTGGTTTATCTAGCTTGGGATTAATTTATTAGGTTAGTACGTATGAAATTTTTTCGAGTTATCTGGGATTTTACGTCTTGCTTTATGTAGCCAATTCAAATTTCTCTCTCAGTTTGGTGGCCACTTTTGAGAGCGCTGCTGTCAACTCGTCAGCTTAAACTCACATTGGCTGCACATATATCCATAACACCTTTTTATATCAGCGTATGATGTACGTAAAGGTTTTAATAATTAAAAACGTACTTTCAGTTGGGGAAGGAAGAAAGTACTATACGATACTCGGCCGGGCACTTTAAGTCGATGGCGTGCGACTTATGACGTCATAACTTCGCAGCCATAAACTCCAACTTTCCGGCCTAGTTTCGTAATCTACTATAGGTACTTCTCAAACCTTGCATTGTAACAAAAAGCAAAGTCTAAACATTTTAGTACAGGAATAGTAGTTTTCGAAATTTTTTCTTCTGTAGAGAATAATTTTTGAGTATTACTCTTTTTAAAATAGAGAATTTACAATATTACTATTTTTCAAAGGGGATACCTGAACCTTAAAGAACACGTTAAGGTTTTTTAAGGTTCACACTACTTTTGCAAGAATTTTACAAGTTAAATTAAGAATCTAATGCTGCATTTTATTTTGATTCTAAATAGGCTCATGATTTTCAAATTCTAGCTACCTCATTTTTTTGTCAAATGGTGGAAGTCGTGTGACCCACACTTTTTTTTACAGTTTATTACCATAAACACCTTTTAAAAGGTTCTAAAAACTGTAAGCGCTGACCTCTAAAGCAAAAAAAACAGAAGCTGTTTTTAGGCTGTTCATTTTCTTATTTTATACACTTATCAGTTTTATTTTTTAAAAGTAGCGTTATATTGAAGAAGTTAAAAATGATAAACCAAAAAAATTATTTAACAGTTTGGCGCTAAAAATACTAAAAAGAGTTTATACTTTAACATAATAAAATCCAGGCTTTTTTCTTGAGTTTTTCATACCTATAACTTGAAGGCTAGACGTTTTAAAAAATAATCTAATAAAGAAATTAAAGTTTTTTTGAGCACTTCACTTTTTTTCAGAACTGTTTAGAGCTAAATGATGGTGAATACAGAAAGTAAAATATAAAACTTTGTTTATAAAGTCGACGTTAAAAATATAATGAATGAAAGTGTGTTATGAGACTTACAGTCAATGTCAAAATTTTTTTTCCTTGAATTCTAGGTCGATCAGAAAAAAAGTGGTTGTACAGGTTTTCCGTTAGGATAATTAAAACATCTTTTTTCTTTTTAATATCGCGTATTTGCTACATATTTTTTATTGAAACGTATATCTATCTTCTTATCTTGTTTAAGCTAGTTAAAACCTCTAAATTTTTTTTTTTTATTACAGACTAATTGTAAATTAACGACAATGTCATCCTGACTATTGACATGTATTCTTATGAATTTAAGCTGAATGTTCACAGTGACCATCACAACTTTTTCCCTCACAAGATTTAACAAGGAATTTACCTTGAAGTGGAGGCAGCACTGTACATGCAACTAGTGAGTTTCAAGAGAGTGAGTAGCAGAACCGCCACCATTTTATGCAAAATCTACTAGACGTATATATCTGTACGCGTACTTTGCAACAAACAATGAGTGGAATTCTGTGTTAATCTTATGGGTCGTGACAGCCAATCAGCTACTGTCCCCCGTTTTGCTCCCTTGAAGCTCACTACATGCAACCAGCCTACACAGTGCATGATTAAATATTACATTCAGTCTAAGCTTAAATTCACACTCAGAGCGGTTTACTGGATAAAAATTTGAAAGTTAGATAATTTTGAACCATCACAGTAGTCATAAATATTTCAGTCAATTCTAAAAACTCTCTTACTGCTCATTCTTTTTTTACAGCTTAAATATCCTAATATTATAAACATGCAGAGTGGTCTGAGCATTAGTATTTTTTAATAAATGTTTTTATCATGTACATTATGTATATTAATACATGTATCGAGGCATCATAGTTTAAATACAAAAATATTTTCAGCGTTATAAGACGATAGATTTATTTTTTGATTCCATCCAAGAATCATTCACTAATTTCCATTTAGGATTGAAATATTTACTCGCCTTACTACCTTGACGCCCTAATTAAAAGCCCTCGTTAAATTAGGAAGTTGCTATTAGGTAATCTTTTACCGTTAAGCATGTGCATGCCTTTCATCTTATACCTTCGTAGGCCTTTACAAATATTTAAAATAGTTGTAATAAAAAATCAACACAATAATTTCATACTTTTACTAATTAAAAGGTTTTTTTTTACTTCAATGTAGGTCCTTAAGCAAAATCCATTTTGGTGGACTCACCAGCGTCACGATGGTAAACTTTGGAACTTAAATAATTATAGAACTGATATGATCCAAGCTCTTGGTGGAGTAGAGGGTATTTTGGAACACACATTATTTAAAGGAACATATTTTCCAACCTGGGAAGGTTTATTTTGGTAAAAAAGTTTTTCAAAAATTTCGATGCGATCCTACGAAACGACGCAAAAGACCAAAATAATACTTATTTTATAGGGAGAAAGCTTCAGGATTCGAAGAGTCCATGAAGTACAAGAAACTTACAAATGCTCAGCGATCTGGTTTAAATCAAATTCCAAACCGTCGCTTTACACTGTGGTGGTCTCCAACAATTAACAGAGCCAATGTTTACGTTGGTTTCCAGGTGTGTTATTTAATTTTGATTCAACAATTTATTGATTACATTTATATCAGCATTTTTTTCTTCACTCTTCTGCGATTCATATTCTAATATATTATTTAAATATATTATTAATAAAATAGGTACAACTGGATCTAACCGGAATTTTTATGCATGGCAAAATTCCAACACTGAAGATTTCTTTAATTCAAATTTTTCGTGCTCATTTATGGCAAAAGGTTCACGAATCGATTGTTATGGATCTTTGTCAAGTGTTTGATCAAGAACTTGATGCTCTTGAAATAGAAACCGTACAAAAGGAAACTATCCATCCTCGGAAGTCTTACAAAATGAATTCCTCGTGCGCTGACATTCTTCTATTCTCTGCGTATAAATGGAACGTGTCAAGACCTTCTCTTCTTGCTGACTCAAAAGATGTCATGGATAATACAACAACCCAGAAATACTGGATAGATGTGCAGCTACGATGGGGAGATTACGATTCTCACGACATTGAGCGATATGCCCGTGCCAAGTTTTTGGACTACACTACCGATAACATGTCAATTTATCCGTCCCCTACTGGACTGCTAATAGCTATCGATTTAGCATACAACCTTCACAGCGCTTATGGTAATTGGTTCCCAGGCTGTAAACCTTTGATTCAGCAAGCCATGGCTAAGATTATGAAAGCAAATCCTGCGCTTTACGTACTTCGAGAACGTATCAGAAAAGCCTTGCAACTCTATTCTTCAGAACCAACCGAACCTTACCTGTCATCACAGAATTATGGAGAGTTATTCTGCAATCAAATAATTTGGTTCGTCGATGATACTAACGTTTATCGTGTCACGATTCATAAGACCTTTGAAGGTAATTTAACAACAAAGCCCATTAATGGTGCAATTTTCATCTTTAATCCTCGCACTGGCCAGTTATTTTTGAAAATTATTCATACATCTGTATGGGCTGGTCAAAAACGCTTGGGCCAATTAGCCAAGTGGAAAACTGCTGAAGAAGTAGCCGCGTTGATTCGATCCTTGCCCGTGGAAGAACAGCCAAAACAAATTATCGTGACAAGAAAAGGTATGCTAGATCCTCTCGAGGTACACTTGCTTGATTTTCCAAACATCGTTATCAAAGGGTCGGAGCTGCAGCTACCCTTTCAGGCTTGTCTGAAGGTTGAAAAATTCGGTGACTTGATTTTAAAGGCCACTGAGCCTCAAATGGTATTGTTTAATCTTTATGATGACTGGCTCAAAACGATCTCGTCTTATACAGCGTTTTCGCGCCTGATCCTCATTCTTCGAGCCTTGCACGTCAACACTGAAAGAACGAAAGTTGTCTTGAAACCTGACAAGACAACCATAACAGAACCACATCACATTTGGCCCTCTTTGACTGACGAAGAATGGGTCAAAGTTGAAGTACAGCTTAAAGACCTCATTCTAGCTGACTATGGCAAGAAAAACAACGTAAATGTGGCATCTCTCACGCAGTCTGAGATTCGTGATATAATCCTTGGTATGGAGATTAGTGCCCCATCGGCTCAACGACAGCAGATCGCTGAAATCGAAAAGCAGACAAAAGAGCAGTCACAGCTGACTGCTACAACTACCAGGACAGTTAACAAACACGGCGACGAAATCATAACAGCTACAATGTCAAACTACGAGACGCAGTCATTTAGTTCCAAGACCGAATGGCGTATTCGAGCAATTTCTGCTACGAATTTGCATTTGAGAACGAATCATATTTACGTATCATCAGATGATATTAAAGAGACTGGTTACACGTACATTTTACCAAAGAATGTTCTCAAAAAGTTTGTTACCATCTCAGATTTACGTGCTCAGGTAAAATTAAAATATTTAAGCCTTTAATTCGTAAACAAACTTTTTTTTTTAATTCATTTTAATTTTTAGATTGCTGGATATTTATATGGTGCCAGTCCTCCAGATAATCCGCAAGTCAAAGAAATCAGATGTATCGTGATGCCTCCTCAATGGGGTACTCATCAAACAGTTCATTTACCGAATATGCTGCCGGTTCATCAATACCTTAAAGAAATGGAACCCTTAGGATGGATTCATACACAGCCAAATGAACTTCCACAACTCTCACCTCAAGTATCTTTTTTAATTATTTGTTTACTTGTTTATTTATCCATTTACTTGTCTCCTTCAACAGACAGATTGTAGAATTTGGTTTGATCTAAATTGGCTAAAAGTTTTTACAAAATTCAATAATTTTGCAGGACATCTCAACTCATGCAAGAATTATGGCGGATAATATATCATGGGATGGAGAAAAAACAGTTGTTATAACGTGCAGTTTTACTCCTGGTTCTTGCTCTCTAACTGCTTACAAACTTACACCTAGGTTTATTTTGATAATTTTTTTATATTTATTTTATACCTAATGTAATTAAGAATTTTCATTCTATTTATTACAGTGGATTTGAGTGGGGAAAACAAAATACAGATAAAGGAAATAATCCAAAAGGATATCTTCCAAGCCACTACGAGAAAGTTCAAATGCTATTGTCTGATCGATTTCTTGGATTCTTTATGGTACCAAATCAAGGCTCCTGGAATTACAATTTTATGGGTAAGTAAATTATGATAGTTATATATTGAAAAAAACAACAAAGAAAACTGTAAACATGATTTGTTTGAAACATAAACCAATAATTGCATAACTATTTAAAGGTGTGAGACATGATCCTAATATGAAATACGAGCTTCAGCTCATGAACCCAAAAGAATTTTACCACGAAGTACATCGTCCTGCTCACTTCTTAAACTTTGCAAGTTTAGAAGATGGTGATGGAGCAGGTGCAGATAGAGAAGACATGTACGCGTAAAGTTAAGAAAATTTATTTCAAATTGTAAGCATAAACAGTTTTTCTTACCATTATAAATGTAAAAAAAGTTGATTTTTTTTTATAAATACACGTTTACTTTTAGCGATCCTACAGTAACAATTTACATTATTTAATATCAATACAAATAAAGTTTAAGTTACGAATCATAATTTAAGCAGTATCTTGCAAAAATATTGTTATAATAAAATCTTGAAATACAGTCTCTATTTTTTAATTATTTTTAAAATATAATTAAAACCACATTTTATTGCAAATAAAAATTTGTACTTATAGTGTAATAAGCTTATTTTTCAGAAATTATTAAAATAAATTGTTTATAAATCAAATATGCAGCGCTATGCTACAATCGATGTCATTTACTTCTCAAATAACCCTATGATCAATTCATACATTAAAATCAATCATTTATACAAAGAAAAACATGATAAAGTAAGTTTTTAGTTATCATTTAAATGTTACATATTTTTAATCTCATAGGATTAGCTTATCGCGTTGCCCGTTGGTGCTTACCTAACAAAAAATTGGTGCGTTTACCAGAAAGAGTAGAGCGAAACTCGCTAGGGTGCATAGTGAACTGGAAAATATTGCTTTATGAAATCGATAAGACGAGTTATGTAACAACGAGATGTAAGAAAATTACCTATTATGTTAAAACAGGGTTAAATTGTACTTTCACATCTAAAACAATGATCACGCCTATTCTCCTCTTCACTTTCTTATTCACTTTAACATCAGTGGCATCGTGTGTATATTTTTTCTCCCTTTTTTTTCATTAACAAATATTAATAGAAAATTTTGCGTACACCTTTTTTCAAAAGCACTTGAAAGCTCAAACAAGCATAATCCACACAACGCGTAAGCTCCCAAATTTTGTGTGATTCTTGTGTTTGTCGGGATTTAACTCGTTATATAACATATGTTTATTATGATACTTGCAAATGAGAGATAAAGCTCAAAAGAGCCCGAGCCAAAGGCGAAAGCGGTAAAGACACACGGGCGGTGGTTTTCTATTACATGATAGGTATTACTTAGGACTTTTTATCAGACTTACTGGACTCATCAGATCCATTATAAGTAAACCATACCTCTGGAAAAAGGTAAAGGGAAGTCAAAGAGTCGGTTTTATTTCGTCTCAATTACAGAAACATAATAAAGAACCTATTTTAATAACGACTGCGTTCATAATGCGAAAATAATCGTAGAGAAATGAATTTTCAGCCTATAGGTTGAATAACTGACAGAAATACACGATAAAAAAGTTTAACCTCACAGCCCGTACCTGCATAGTCATCAAGTAGGGCGTCTCCAGTCTCGCGGGAGGTGTAAAGCAACAATGTTAAAATCTCAAGTAAGGGAGAATATTCTCATCAATTTTCACGATGAAATGAAAACCAACAAGGACAATCATAGTAACATAATTGAACAAGCAATAATAACCAAAAGAGTAGAGAAAGAGAGAGAGCGAGTCAAAATGAAGTTAGGAAATGAAGTGCAAGTCGAAAATCACTAAAAAATGACAGTGGAGACAAGGAGTCCCGACATGTCCAACAATGCTAATTCAGATTCATTTGGTGAAGAGAACAAAGGACCTTTTGGGGTATGGATCAAATATCTTGATGCTGGCAAGGAAAATAATTTACTGAAAATAAAAAGTAGCCAGTATAGCTTAGATATACGGCTACTTTAGCTTGGTCGACCAAAGTAGTTACTGTCAGGCTAGGTTAGCCTGCTAGCCAAACAGAAACCGTTTGGTCGTTCAACGTACCCAAGTATACACAGGACTCAGTTTGTGACTGGTCACATTTGCCTCAGCTGCCAAGTAGTTTCTACTTGCCACCCAGGCTAACCTATCCTGACAATAGCTGCTTGGATCCACCAAGCTATAATAGCCGTGCATCCAAACTATACTTACCACTTTTTATTATTATTGTAGACTAAATTATAGCTACGTTGGTATGGCGCTGCTTAGAAAGTACATACATATCAGTGACATACAACATATAGGAAGGAACCAAGTTGAGGTTCTGTTTAGGAAAAAGGAAGAGACAAACACATTTTTGGCAAATAACATGATGGAAGAAAAACTAAAAAACAACAGTCTAGTTGCAAGTGTGCCAATGTTCTGGAAACAATGCAGAGGCGTAATAAGAGTTGTCAACTTACGTATATCAGATGAAGAGATAATGAGAGGAGTTAAATCTCCTCTTAAAGTGACTGAGGTGAGAAAGACGAATATGAGGTAAAAAATAAAGAGGCAGAACGAGTGGAAACCAAGCCGAGCAGTAGTTATCTTTTTTGTGGGTCAGAATATACCAGATGAGGTCAAAATTTACTTAAGTAGCCATAGAGTAGACGTCTATATACCTAGGCCTATGATATGTCATAACTGCTTGCTTTATGAACACACAAAAAAGGTGTACCATAAGAAAAGAATAGACCTAAGTGCATGCGCTATGCAAAGGAATTAGATGAAAATCATGACGAACTGAAATATTAAAACAAGGAACCAGCATGTGCCAACTGCACTGAGAAAGACTAGGTGCTACAGCTGCCTCTCTCCCTATGGTAAATCATGATTAGTCTGCTATCTCTGACAACTAGGATAGCAGGTGTCCTACTCCAAACAGCGTGCTTACCAGCCCAAGAAGTGTAGTGTCCCAAAGTAGCATAGTAGCGTTACCTATAGTGTGGTTCAACAAATGTACCATAAGTTAGGTGCAGCACATGTACACGTTTTGTGCAGCTCTCGTCTCAACTAGTATCGCTGAGGCACTAAACTTCCGAACTAGCTCTGTACTACGGGTAGTACTCTGACGGCGCCAAATCATTCTCATGTGTAGGGTCAATTATAAAGCCAACGGTATACTATATTCCTATAATCTTAAGGATGTAATGCGTACAGCAAGCAAAACATAATTAACCACATTATGGCCATAGATAACGTATCATACACTCAAACAAGGGTAGAGGTCAATAAAATCATACCATCACCTAGAAAAACTCAAGAAAATTTCCCAATATTGACCAAAACTATGAAGAGGGACACATGCGTAGTGCGTTGTCTGAATGACTAAATATTAAAATCCAAGTGTAGCAAAATTCTGAAGAACAAGGATGTAGACGAAATTTAAAAACTGGCATCTCAAGAACCAAAGAAGGAAAAAACAGGTAGCAATTGGAAGAAAAGGTAACAAGCACAGACCCAAAAGGGGCAGGACCACCTGGTAAAAATAATATTGATAATAAATTGAGTAATAATAAAAACGTATTTTGGTTAAATAATTGTACAGTTTATTAAAATATTTATTATACAACATTTTTGACAAATGAGAAGTTTTTGACCCTAGCATCAGTCTCATTCATAAATATATAATCAACACTTTTATCAGTCAATAATTAAGTTAAATAGCAAATAAAATAAATATTTATTTGAAATTGAATATTACACAAGATACAAAATACCATATTACCTTCTAAAAAAGATGATTGTGATACAAGCAGTAGATTTTATACGACACAAAATCTGATCTCTAAGAGCTGCTGCATAGGCACTGGTTAGGACCCAAAAAAATCCAAGCAGGAAACTTCGACACAATGCTCAATAATCTTTCAATCAATGTTTAATAATTTTTTTACAGATTGCAATTTTTTTTTGGGTATTTCTTTTGAATATTTTTTCTCGATGATTGATATATTAATACGATTAACGCAAAATCTTTATGAGTTTTTTTATAGTGTAAATAGTTGTACTACTAAAAGATTGTGTAAAAAAAACTTACCTTATCTTTAGCTTAGATTTAAATGTATTTACTTAGTAAAAAAACACGAGTTATTTTTCTTCTCCGCCGAAACTTAAAACTACCCTCTCACGTTCTCTCGTAGTTAATATATCACGTATGTAGGTAATCTATTTCTCTATTAAAAAAAACCCATTTAATTAATAGTGGTTTTTCTATTATTTACGTATTGATCTTGCTTGGCTTTTATATCGTTTTTTTGTCTTAAATAACAACATGCTTTTGAAAATATGTACAGTTTCTTAAAAACCATGTGATTGTTTTAAATATTTTTCAACGGGTTGAGTAAATTTATGCTAAAAAGTTATTTTTTATCTCATAATTCAGTGATTTTTCGTATTTTTAGCGATTTTTAAAATTTAGAAACAATATGGTTTTAAGTAATTACATAGATTTAAAACTATTAGGTAATTAGAGATAAAAAGCCATGTAGAAATATAGTCCATTACAATCATAAACCCCATCAAAACTGCATGAAGTCATGTAATTTTTCCATGTAGTTATCGATGTAGTTTTTTAAAAAAAAGTAACTTTTACAAGTAGTTTAAAAGGATTAGTAAATTATTTAAGGTTGTACGATGCAAGCCTACAAGTGCCTAGCAAGTTAACACTTGTAACTTGAAAGATTAGTATTAAAAAAGCCCTAAAGATGTAAAATATCGATATTTATAGGTGAAAGTAATTACGATCAAGTTTTTCAAAGTTATTCTTTTTCTAAAACCAAAGAAGTAAAATACAGACTAACGTTAAAAAAAGACAATCTTGTTTTATAAAACATTATCATTGTCCTAGATGATTTGAAACTTGTTAACATTGTCTTCACTGTCTTTGACGTTGTCGTCCGCATTTACATTTTTGTCATGCTAGTCGTCATTATTCTCATTGTTTTCGTCGTTTTCGTCACCCATTTCTACAATCTGATTGTTACTGTTGTCGTTGTTGTTAAAGTTATTAATATTACATTGATTACAGACATTTAAATTATTAGCATTAAGTTATTCTTAATGCAAAACCAACTAGAATTATTAGGATAATAACTTTTTTTGCTATGTTTTTAGAAAAATTGTGCGATTACTCAAACCACTAATCGCGTAATAACTCTCGATAATAGCATACGACTTATCGCATGATAAATCACAAGAAAAATTGTTCGCTTTATCACACGATAAATTGCGCAAATTCCGTAAGCAGGGTAACACAAATACTCCTTTCCTTTAATCCTTATACATAAGGAAAATCAATGAAGTACGTGGCTGCAATGTTAATACATTAATGTTTGCGGAAGACATAGTA